TTTCAAACGCCTCGGAGGGTTATCAGGAATTGAAGAGGAAGCAAGGTTAGAAACGAGAGGGTTCGGATGATTCTGAAGTTTATTATGGAAGGATAAGTATCTGGATTAGGGCAGATCTGAAACAAAAGAAACATTAATGTCATTATGGATGGTCTTATTTGTAACAAAGTAGGGAGCATTGAGGGTTTTACGAAGGATTTTGGATTGTTAGGATTGGATACGAGAGGAATTCGATTGTTTAGTGGAGCCCCTTAGCTCAAGATGGTATATTAAATTTATTAATATAAAATAGTTTAGTTTGAATAAATCAATAATCATAATGTCTGATTTATGTTGTTTATTTGTTATTAAACAAAAAAACAAAAATTTCTTTTTCATATATTTTCTTTAGAACTATTGTTGCTGAGGAGGAAGTGTTTATTTTGCATTTAATAATTGTAATTAAATGACATTTACAATTTAAAAATATTAATGGCCCGTGTCACCATTTGAATTCCGGCCGAAAACCCTGTTTTTTTGTTTTTTTTTTTGTGTTGTGATTTTTATAAAATATCAAGTTATCTCTTCAATGCCCTTTAAATTTATGTATATGACATACTTAACCGGAAAGTACTTTCTTTTCAAGATGGCGGTCGAATGGCTATTGTCTTATAGACTGTAGCGCCTAAACCGATTTACGGACTTTATTGTGTTTTAATTTTTAAGTCTAATTCCAAATTAGATTACAAAAAATACAACTATAAAATAAATATATTTTTTTTTTTGTTATGTACTATTTCTTTTTTGTAACTTTTAATGTTATAATAGCTTCCACTTTAACGTTTACTGTTAAATTTTATATTGTGTAATATAAATATTCAGTAAGGGTTAAAAAGGCTCGTATGTGGTCGAAAAGCTCTCATCTTTAGGAATAAATAATAAAAAGATTAGATTTCTAAATAACTAAAAAATGTTTACACCTTTTTTGTTTATGTTACAGCGGTCATTTAAAAGTTTACCTAGGTCATTTACCTGCAAGACATAAAAAAGAAAAGAACATCGGAATCATAGCAATGGTAGAGCGTATTCTATTTTCTACACATATTTTAATTTAAATTTGATATTTTCGTTGATGTAACATTTAAAAAGTTTCTCTTAATATTTTCCACACGTTCTACCACAAATCTAATAACTTTTTTTTTTTTTTGAAAAGGTTACATCAACGAAAATATTAAATTAAAATTAAAATATGTGTAGAAAATAGAACACGCTGTACCATTGCTATGGTTCCGATGTTCCTTTTTTTTTATGTCTTGTAGGTAATTTAATTATCTTTCAAACGATTCAATATAAAGGAAGAAGATGGTCCGGGGTTGCGGTCATAAATAGGCTAAATAATGGTAAAACTATTTTATTGAAAGCCGACGTTTCGACCCGACTTTGCAGGTCTTTATCAGGGCTAGAACGGACAAGATACAAAAAGATAGAGAATTGTGGCAGTTATATAATATTTTGACATAATTTATAAACTATGTGAATAAGCTTATTAAAAGTATAAACAGTAAGTAAAATAAAGTATGAACAAAGTTAACTGAGTAAGTCGGGTCGAAACGTCGATTTTCAATAAAATAGTGTTTTACCACTATTTATGACCGCAACCCCGGACCATCTTCTTCCTTTACAATGCAACGGTCAACTATTAAATATTCAATATGATTCAATATAAAGTTTACCACATAGCGTATATTTAGCGAGTTAGACCTCAAAACATTTTTCTTATCTTTTTAACTATTTTACTGATGCTCTCGGGAATTAACTTCATATACGAAAATTGAAAGGTATTAACTAGAAGATTATAAGAAACTTTCATTAAAATCGTTGAAGTCGTTTTTGCGATACAGTCTTTAGAAAAAAATTTTGTTCTCTTATTATGCAGCCACTATTGCGTAGGGAGCAACCAATTCGTCTCATAAACATTGGCATTCCAAACTCTATTAAACAAAAAAAAAAAAAAGCAACAAAATCAATCTATCTGCCCCGAGATAAATTCTTGGCACAGACAGACAGGCCAATGGGTGAAAATGTATTTTTCGGACTCTGAAAGTGCTCTGAAACGTAAAGTGAAAATCGCACATTGGAAATTTTACCCGATCGCATTACTTTCTTAACATTATTGATGGTTGTAAAATAATAGAAATACTCAAAGACACTGTTTTGCATCCGTAAATAAACGGAAGAAAATTCATGGCCTAATATATTATCGATAAAAAGCTCTTATCTCTGATTCTTTATAATCGATAATGCAGTTACTGGTTGATAACGACTGACGAATTCCTGAGATAAGTTGTAGCTGAGTGTAATCTGAAATCTGTTTTATCTTCCCAGTGCTCCCGTCTCGAACCCCCCGATCATCGTACCAAAATGTCGTCATTCTATTATTAGATTGTACGATTTTATCTCCGCCAGCTGATATTTTTATATTGTTATCGCCAGTGCATAAGTGATATTAGTGGGCGTCATTTATTTTGGCATAGTCATACAGATTATTGGTTTCTTACCTATTTATTCATTCTCCTATGTTAGTTCTCTCTCTCTCTCTCTCTCTCTCTATATATATATATATATATATATATATATATATATATATATATATATATATATGTATATATAAAAGAACCAGAAACTCACTCTTCAACAGATTTATTTATAATCTCATTCTAAATATGCACATACTCAATAAAATTAAAATATTTAACTGTGAATATTTGTTCTCTTCATATTTTTATCCACACCTGTCATAATCTTGACAATAAGCAGAAGTGATGATAAAGTAAAGGAAATTAGCATTTTAGGTATGAGGAAGAATAGTACCCAGCAGTACCTCTTCCTGGTCTTGGTTTATTTTCTTACTTCAGGAAAGGTGATCTCTCATCCAACTCCTTTTTAGTCGTCTCCTGATGGGCATTTCAGCTGTGGGCATGTCGTTAATAAGTCCGTTGTGATGTACATGTAGTTTATGATGAAATCGGGGGTAGAGAGTCGGTATGTAAAGATTCGTACCAAGGAGCTGATGTTATTAGTCTTACAATTTTGGATTGAAATGATTGTAGTTTTTGTAAGTGCCTCTTTTTTGCAGAACCGTAAATTTGTGAGGCGTATGTTCATACGGGTTTAAGTAGGTAGTGTTTGTGTTTAGTTTTTGTATGATTTTCAGTTTTGATTTTCAAAATAGTGGGTATAGTATTTTCAGTTGTTTGTTCAAAGTCTTTCGTTTCATTCTTACATGTGGGCCCCAGGTCATCCTTCTGCCGAATAATAGCCCGAGATACAGTGTCCGTGATGTTTTGTTAAAATTGTTGTATCATCAGCTTAAGTAGCAGTCAACGTTTCGGAGGCGATAGTTATGTTATGCGTATAGATAACGTAAAGTAATTGAGCCAATATTGATCCTTGAGGTACTCCGGTACTGGTTGAATTGAGGAAGTTTAATTTCTAAACCCTGTCGGAAAGAGAAAAATCTGTCGAAAAGGAAAGACTGAAGAATGAGATAGTATGTATGAGGTAGTATTTTGGGCAACATCCAGAAACACGCTGGTAGAATATTGTTTTTCCTCTAGTGTTCCAGCAATGTAGTCAGTAACTCTGTGTAATTGGTGTGTAGTTGAATGAAATTTGCGAAAGCCGAACTGATGGTCAGGTATTACCTTTCGGTCCTTTAGTATCTCAACCAATCTTTTGTATATTTATTTTTCGAAAACTTTGGAACAAATTTGAAGGAGACTTATTTGGTCGGTAGGATGAATGATTGTAAAATCCATCAGAAAACCTCTACACAATGAAAGCCTCAATAGTAGGCAAGAGAATAAGCGTGAGGAAAAAAACAAAACAAAAAAAAAAACAGATGGATATATCCAATCAACAAATCTAAAGATTTTCTAGAATAGAAACCACGGAAACTCTTAATTCTATTCATTTGGGGCGAATTGACACAGTGACGTAGGGATTGGAATTGAATTGAAAAATTTCAAACATGTAACCTTGAATCTTTCAAACATCGATAAACGAATAACAAGTCGGCATTCCTCTATTTTTTTCATGAGGAAAAAAATCGTTAAGCGAAATATCAACTGCTTTATATTTTTGTTTACGGTAATTTCGAGACTAAGGTTTTGTGTTTGGAATCTTCTAGCTATATATTACCATTTTGTATATTTATTTTCTTTGAGCTTTTTCCTCCCTTTACACATTCAGTAATACATTTAGTGAAAAAAGTGTTGCATCCAATTTCCTTTGGTTCCTCAGGACCCTTCCTTTTACATTTATGAATTTTTTTTATTTCCATGTGCTATTCGATTTTTACTTTCATGCATATGAAATATGTAGTATTAGGATCGTGAAAAATTTCTAATCCGAATTTTTAACGAAAATGGATGTTTTAAGATCACCTGAGTCTTCTTCACCAAATCTCAAGATTGAGTCACTAATTTCGAAGGCTTCCTTCTCCTTCAGGCGAGCAAAATAGTCCAATCACCCCGAAAGTTCAGGCAAACAAGTTATGAAAGAAAACAAACTTTATTTGCGAATAACTAAAAAATTACACACTTTTCTCATGCTTTTGCCCATGATTATATAAAAGATTACTAAATTCCCTGCAAAAGTAAAAAAAAAAAATATCGAAATCGGACAATTGTTAGTAAAAATACAGCTTATTGAAAATTTTAAACATGTTGGTTCCAAACATTAATGTAGTTTTAAATTAATTTTTGTTTCCTTTGCCGATTATATTTATCGATAAAGTAACGATTGATTTCTTTTTCTGTTGCTACGTTGCATTATTTTCTTGTCTTATTAATTTGGCAATTGATCACTTAACAATGTGCTGTGCGAATTTTTCGCACGGGCCTACCAGTTTAAATCATACCCAGGATGGGAGAGAATTTGTTGGACTCTAAAGGCCTGTTGTTGATAGATACAGACTAGCCTTCAGTTGACGTTGTTGAATTGAAGAAGTGGAGGACTCCTCAGAGGATCATGGTACCATTTAAGACTCCATTGTGGGCAGCTTTGCCGAAGAAGGAAGCTCCCACTTGTGAGTCCTTTATCAAACAGTTGCGGTAGGTTGTGACCGCTTCCTCTGGAAGGATAACGGAACCTGGTGTACCGCTGCGTCTCATTCCAGTGTCCTCTCTGTCTGTCTACTCGATATCATCTATATCGATTCTTATATATTTGTATTCGATCTGCAATACTGTATTAGGAAGGTATTTAGTATAGGTAGTGGTGCCCAAATGAGACACCGAGACGAGTCTTGGTCTTGCAAACTCAGTCTTGGTCATGGTCTTGCTCTTGTGCAAGAATCTCGCAACAGTCTTGCACTTACTTATTAGCTTATTACTAAAATTTTTAAGATAGGAGAAATCTAACTAAGCCCGAATGAAAAATTAGAGGAGTTAAACGCAAAAGTATATTGGTTATACCAATTATTAACATATAGTAACTAAGATTGTCAAGTATTAGTAACTATTTTGCCTTAATTTCGATCGACTAAAATCGATTTTTTTTAAACCAGTCCTGGTCTTGGTCTTGCAAAGTGCAAGACCAAGACCGATTTTGGGCAACAATAAGTATGGGAATGAGGGATTAATAAGGAGGAACCTTATGGTTTTCGAATTAGCAGTTAAAAAAATATCGTTCAACGAGACAGTACTGCTGTACTTATTAGATATAACTAGATTGAGATTAGCTGTCAGCTCGAGGGCGAACTCTTTCGGTACCTACTTGTACCGAGAGACACATTAATCAGTGAGTCACTGATTTCAACTAATTTTTTTTTTTTTGCCTTTCTACATCGAAAACGCCCCGGCGTTAATTTCAGTGGAGCTTAGAAACCTAGACACAAAATATACAACTTCAAAAAAAAAAAAATTCTTTGGAATTACATATATTAAAGTTATGACAATTTTTGTAGCTTTTGAAAAAAAAAAAAAAATTGATAGGTCCTTCCTAAAGAAACATTGCAGTCGATCGGTATATGACCTTTTAAGTTGACAGAATGACACCATAAAATTTACACCTTTATTTACACACAGTTCTATATTTAAACACTGCGATCACTCTGGAATCAACTTACTCACTGTCTGTACAGATATTATAAATTTTCCAATTATAAATGTTCTAGAAATTCTGTCAACTGATAGGATCATATAATGAAACAGAGAAATCCGACGAAAGAAAAAATAAAATTTTAAATTATTATATATAATTTTTTTTTTTTTTTCATAATTCTTAACGAATGACATTTATTCACTATTTATTGATGTATAACAAAAAAAAAAAAAAAGAATATATATATATATATATATATATATATATATATATTTATTTTTGTTTAAATCGGTGATCCAATTATTGTGACCGCCTCTTTTTAATCAGTTCACTCTCAGACTATCAACTAATTGTCAAGGCAGAGTTCTATAATAAGTCATACAATATCAAAGTCAGATTTTCTCTCCTCCAAGATAAAATTATTTTTGACTTAAAAAGTCAAAATATTGCATTCGATTTGAGTTGCAGATAATATGAAAACTGTTATTATTATTTTATTTTTTTCGCAAGGAAAATCAATATATAAAAATGCCTTTCGCGCCGAATCCCCTAAAATGGTAAAATATAATATGTCTTATGTCTTATGAAAAAAGATATCTCTAAATGTATTATTGTTTGTTTGATTACATTTAATAAGACTTCCGGAATCACTTTAAAACCATTTCATATGGGTAGTTAGGATCTTTCTTCGTTCCAAGTAATAAACGTTATATATATTTCAGAAGAAGTTAGTCGTGGATTCTGTCAAAAAATAATATATTATATATTAGTATATTTTATTATATTGTCTAACGTTTCCACCAACGTTGTAAGTCTTCTTTCAGGGACCTATAAGATACAAACAATATATATTACTTATTTAATTATATATAAACAACATATATTAATTATAGAAAGTTACAGTATATGTAGATGACTATTGACATTCATTTCAATTGGGAAAAGTATATTTTCTATATATAATTAAATAACTATTATATATTGTTTGCATATAGCCCTGAAGAAGACCTGCAACGTAGATCGAAACATTGGACAATGTAATAAAATACTATTTTATATTATAGTGTATACTATTTTATAATATAGTGTTTTTCGACTGCACCCCCGACCAACTTCTGAAATTGTATCCACAGTTAACCATCTCCATACCATGTATGTATATATATATATATATATATATATATATATATAGACACACACAAAGCTTTCGGGCTGGAGCCTCAGTAAATTTAAATCCTGGATCCGCTAGTGATAGTTTTTAATCCGAAAATAAATTTTATTTTATAATAAGTGAAAATGAGTACAAAATGAAATATCTCATTCTGCTCCTTACTGTTCTGCCATCAACTATCCAATCCTCCAGCTCTTCAACCACAGCCATCATCTGTGAAAGTTCTTCCTCTAGCATTTTTATTTTTATTTCTTTGGAGTGATTTTTGTAACTGTTCGTTTTAGTGGAATCGGTTCCGTACCACAAAGCTAAAAGTTGAGGAAAAGTCTATATTGGCTAGATCCTACGCCACTCATGTATTACGCGATAGGAAAATGACTATATTCATTTAAGGAAAAAATATTCGCTCTCTTATTCATTTGTTTATTTAATTTATCGTTTCTCCTACATTCCTGATGTGTTGCTTTGATGTAGGTACTTTCGCAGCACTAATAGGACATTCAGCTGGACGATTATTTCTAATGGCCAGAAATTATCTATATTGACCCCTTTGCTCAATGTTTAGAAACAAATGCAATTATCCGCTTATACAACTGATAACCTTTAGATTATTCTACCGATTGTATCTAGGTTAGATTTTGCCCTTCAATATATATATATATATTTTTTTTTTTTCTTAATCATATTTAATAATAATATTTACAATGTAGGCAAAAAATAAAAATTTAATGATCATAAACCTTGGATAAGAGAGATTTTAAGTTTCGTAAATAATATTTCTAAAACCAATAGAAACAATTTTTTGAATTTTTTTTATATGGATGAAGTATTTGTTAAAGAAAAAAAAAAATTGATGTCTATTGTTTTGTCATACGAATCTTGAACATTTTTATTGTTACTTATTTATATTATTTTATCTTCCACCCTCCCTTGCCTTAAAGGCAATTCGTTTTTTTTCAAGAGAGGGATGCTACGCATAACAGCGGAAAAAAACCACTTCAGCAATTTTCATACATTTACTAAGTATTATTTTCCTCTGCAGTTGGTACTATACGATTCTCATATGATTATATTCTTATAATATATATAAAGATACAGTGAAAGAGAATGTTTGGAATTAATCATAAAAAAACTCCAATCTGAGTTCTCAACCGAAATTCACATTATGAAATCATCTGTGTCCAAATATCTAAACCTTCTTCATAAACGAAGAATCATGTAGAAATTCTGAGTAATTGGGGGGAGGACGGATGTTTTCTAAAATAAATCAATTAATTTAATATTTAATAATAAGATAATTTGATTACCAAATAAAGAATAAAAGTTGGCTACAAAAATATTGGACCGTTTAGTGTATATAATAAAATCTCGTTATCTTGACATGTTAGGGTTGAGGTCCAAATTTTTGTAGCGAAACAGTCCAATATTTTTGTAGGCCACCTTTGTTTTAATCAAATTACATGAAGAGATTCATGAATTTTTATTACCTAATTTAATAGATGTGTTTACCGATTCCCAGATCGAAAACTCCCCAATTTTCGATATTTTTCGATAGTAAAAATGTTTTTGGTCACGATAAAACGAAGTTTTCGACTAATGCAAACTATTTGATTTAAAAGATCTGAACCGCGAACTGTACACGGTGTTTCGTAATTGCACGGTACTATTTTAGGCATTGTGTTCACTAACACAAAATAAACAAAAAAGTTCATATTAACATATATCTCAAACTCATTTATTAAACTGATATCAAGGGCTAAATATTTATTATTTATTTATTACATTAAGACTGACTGTACACAGTTTAATGTGTTTAATAATAAATAACAGGTTTTAATCTCCTGATAAACAAATGAACGATAAGTAATGACAGTAGTTACTCATCTGTTTGTCTAGTTCTGTGTGTTTTAGTGTGAGTGAATACTGTGACACAGTTCTATTTATGATTATCATGGGAGACACCATAAATTTATTCACTTTTGCAGAACAAACAGACATGATTTTTACTTATGGCGAGGTACATAGAAACGGTGCTGCTGCTGTTCGAAGATATCGTGAAAAATTTTCTGACCTAAGAATACCAAATTGTAAAACGTTTCAGGCCATTCATTGAAAGACGCCTTATGGGGGAACTAGACAAACTGATGAGCAACTACTGTCATTGCTTATCGTTCATTTGTTTATCAGCTGATTTAGTATTAATTTATTTATTATTAAACACGTTAAACTTTGTACAGTCAGTCTTAATGTAGTAAATAAACAATAAATCTTTAACCTTTGATATCTGTTTAATAAATGAGTTTGAGATTTATGTTAATATGAACTTTTTTGTTTATCTTGTGTTAGTGAACACATACCTATAATAGCGCCGTTCAATTACGAAACACTCTGTATAGGCATGTTCCTAAACTCAGCTGTGACCTTATATGTTTCATCGTTTTTCTCTGTTTATAGAGGAATTCGAAGGCATCAATGAGCTCACCGCTGAGTTTGATGTTCCAACTTGGAACCACAATCTCAAATTTTGAATAAGGGGAAGGGGTTAGAGGTTAACTTTTTTTTGTCGGTCGATTACAATGGTTGATTATCGAAAATAATAAACGAGAAGCTATCGATGTTTCTTAGCCAATAGAAACGGTTCGTTCCGGCGGATCCTATTCCGCTAGTTGAGTGAAATTTCGCGGTTATTGAAGTCACGAGGAAGAAGACCAACTGACCTCCTTTCTGTTACAGTTGGAGTCGGCTCTGAGGAATGTCTGATACTTCCAGCCACTCTTTGCCATCAAATGGAGTGTTATCTAACTTATAGATCGTCTGGCATTTAATTTATATTTATTTATTATAAACTATCAGTGGCATGAAATGGAAACATTTCGTTAAAGTGACAATTATAATTGCTGAATTTACTAGCTTACTAACTTCTATACTCTCACGAATAGATTCTTATACTTTTGCAATGTGGCGACTGACCTGGAAAACTTGGGAAAAAGTCAGGGGATTTTCAAAACAGGAAAAAGCAAAGGAAAACCTGGCGGTTGAGCGTAATACAAGCCGAATATAAAATATCTAAAGATAGGAATTTAATGTGAGAGTTCTCTCTGAAGGTGTCTTTTAATTTTAACTTATACTGTTTCTAATATTATTAAAAGTTTACTCAATATGGAGAAAAAAGAGCAATGTCTCATGTATATGTATTTAATATCGCTACAGAAGAGAGTAGCTGGGATGCACTGTAGGAGGCATTGTGTAACCCAAGATCCTGGGACGGGCAGGAAGTATCCGTCTGGACCGAAGGATGCTGCACACAAGGGCCATGTGATTATTATTTATAAGTAACCGGTTAATTTATAGTAACCTTCTTCACTCGGTGATTAATAACTTAGTTATTTTTTTAAATGAACAGGTTATTTCAAGGTACTATATCGCTGCTACTGCCCACCGCGCCGACTGTTACCAGTTAAGCACTGCTTTAGAAAGGAACCTATTTCGTTGGCTCTGCTCGGCAATCTATGTATGACGTCAAATCCGTACTGCTCTTTTCTGACCTCCCCAGAAGCAGTTAAGTTGTTACCAACATGGCGGTTCTAGGTTAAGTTATCATATCGGAGAATTGTTTTGATGATAACAGTCACCTTGATAAGTTTCATTTCCCTTTTTACTTTCCTACCTATACTAGGTAACAAAAGTATTGCAATCGAGTCAAATTTAGGATATGCGGTTTTCGACGGATCTATGCGTTTCACAGTCCCCTGAGTCCGAAAAACACATTTTTAGCCATTGGTCTGTCTGTGCGTCAGACAGTTTGAATTGAAATTCCCTACAAAACTATATAAAAATCGTTCATTTTGGACAACTATTAACGAAGTTACAGCTATTCAATTTCCAATGTAAGATTACGGGTTCATATCCTGGTGTCAGAAAGGGGTGAATGAGAGAATAAAGATGACTAAGTGAAAGTAAGAAAATCAGTTGCCCGCATCACACAATCTTCACTATTTCCTCTACTTTAAACAGAAATTATTGTTTGATAATACCAACCTATGGCAAAAAGTTTTGATCAGCAATATTAGAGGATATTGAAATTTTTACACTGGTCTTCCTTAAGCCGGTTTACATTGCTTTAGTTTATCAAAAGCCTCCCTTTTCCCTCCACATGTGGAGGGGACAGGATTGGTTCGGAGATCACCTGGCAAATTGTAAATAATGTCTGTTTCATATAAGGTGTTTGTTTTACTTTTATTTCTATTTTTATTTACTTATGTGTATATATATATTTTTTTCTTTACTCTTTTGTTCTTTTTTCTTATTCTTTTGTTATTACTTTATTTATTTATATTTTTGTATATACGGTATGAATGCAATCTCTGAACTCTATTATAAGTGTCCTTAAACTGTGACAAATTGTAATATTTCTGAATAAAGTGTTAAAAAAAAAAAAAAAGTTTATCAAATAAATCGTACTCAAATCTTTTTTTTGATCAATTTTCAGGAAAATAAATGTAGTTCGATTTTTTTTTTCCTTCATGAACATATGTAAAGATATAAAAACTTTTCTGAAATAGGTAGGAAAGTCCTGTGAGTGGACACACCAGATATTTTATTTTTTCATCAAGGTAGGTAAAATGAAGAATTGTTTACAATTTGAACAAAAATATAATAAATTATTTTTTAAAGGTTGAATTGACAATATTATTTATTCCACCAAAACTATTTTACATAGCCTTTGAAATATACCTAAATTCAAACGGCATTAAAAAAAATAATTTAAGATAAATACCCAAATCCAGAAATTTAAAAATCAATTTGTATTTTCTAATTAAAGTACTGTTTTACAGTTATTGGTTAAACGGTAAAAGATTGTCTGCTGTGATTTCATTGCAAATATTATTTATGATATTTATTACTGAAATGATCATACCAATAATAAGTAATAATTTTTTTATTATATTTATTTATATTCAGATCGACATAATCGATAACGGTACGATATAACAATCGATATAAAGCACCATCGATGTGATCCTCTCCCTGAACTAGGAGAGACAAACCGCAAGCTGATTATAGACAGGTGCCGTGTGCCGGCGTACGGCAGCTGTGACGTGTGAGAACGGTACTCTCTTCCTCTATGTGCCGAAAGGATTTCTACCTGGGCCGGATCAGGTAACTAACTACCTTTCGGATCCTCCGGACAACTGAATAAAATAAATACTATGATACAACACTGTCGGCAATATATAATACAATGTAGTATATATAGATGTAATATGTAAAGAGTGTCCCGTATGTAAAGAAAAAAAAATCTGGTGTGTCCACACGACTTTCCTACCTATTTCAGGAAAATTTTTGTTATCTTTACATGTCCATCAAGAAACAAAAAAAAAATTGATTTAGATTTATTTTCCTGAAAATTGATCAAAGAAAAGATTAGATACGATTTATTTGATAAACTGAAGTAATGTAAACCGGCTTAAGGTAGATCAGTGTAAACATTTCAATTCTCTCTGATATTGCTGATCAAAAACTTTTTGATGTGCTAAAAATGTGTTTTTCGGACTCAATGGGCTCAGAAACGTATAGATCCGTTAAAAATCGCATATCGGAAATTTGATCCGATCCCAATACTTTTCTTTATCTAGTATAGCTAGGAAAATAAAAAATTGGTTCATATAAACCATGGTTCAAGTTTCCAACGAAAAGCTGGTAAGTTAAGATTTATGTTTTTATTGAATAGGAAATATGGAGACTCTAAGTTGCTGTGATATCCCAGGTATATACCTGACCTAAATATGTATTTTCAGTTTCGTATGACATTTTTTTGAGCTGGACTGATAACACACACAGACCATTTTGTGGAACTTGGTTAATTGGACTCAAGGGAACCTTAAAACATGCATTTCCGTTGAAAACTCAGATCCGAAAATTTTCACGATCGCAATCGCTTTTCTTTACTATATATTACATTTAAAGTTAAGTAAAAGTAAAAAATTAATTTAGATCATTAACTCGCTCCGCTTTTATATTTCATTCCTCGACATTACACAGATGGTACCATTCTAACAAGACGTAAAAATCCTACCCATGCCGTACAAACTTTCCAACATCCTCTAACAAAATTAAATGAATGGTGCAAACTTTGGTAAATTCGAATCAACCGAGGCAAATTCCAACAGTTTGCTTTCACTCTTCGACATGAAATTTGCTCTCCTATTTACTTTACCCCTCTTTAACAATGCCCGAATTCCTCAAACGAATACATTTGACAGGAGAATGACAAGGAACTTTCATATCAACAAAAAAGAAACGTTAATCTTAAGACTGTTATACTCGCTTCTTTCAAGATGCTCAAAATTACGCTTCACAAGATATACGAAACAGCCAAAACGTCACATACAAAAAATACAAACTTATAAGTCAAAAATATTCAGGACCATAACTAAAACTCTATAGTATGTCACAAACATTACTTTACATAAAGACCTTCATATGCCAACTGTTATAAACCACATATGGACACTATAAAGAATTTACATGGACATACTATCTCACTCATGCAAGATATGGCTGCAACACGTAAACACGCTAAGAATGCTCAAAAGAAGCTTATTGAGGGATCTTGCCTACAAAGTATGTTAAAATCATGATAGGAAGCGATGCCGCTGTGCAGTCTTCTTCCTCACGCCGATTGATGCTACTGATCCAGACATCAGACTCATTGATTGTCATTACATCTGACAGATGTGGGTAAAGAAATTAAGTTTAAAAAAAATTGTGCTGTTCACGTGTATATTATTATTATCGCTTTTGATGATTGAAAGCTGGAGGTGGAGGACAAGTCCAACCACCTACAGGTATACATTATTTTCAAGTGTTTAAAAATTGTCTAATGACTCTGACTCAATCCAAGAAAACTGATTGCTGAGCCTCTCTTAACACACCAAAGGGTAATTCCAAGCCGTCCGTACCTGCCACCGTTATCACGCTTTCTAAATCTAAATGTACAATTACAATCGCCAATTTCTGTTGTTTACGGAGCTTCTCAGCCACGATTCTGCTTATATTGTTGTCATTCAGAATCAGGACATCTTTTTGCTTTGCCTTCTTTTTTCTAAAATTTATAATAAGAATATCGGGTCTGTTGTGACGCACTGTTTATTGTTATTATATTGACTGTTTATTATTAAATTATTATCTCTACATTATTTGTATTAGCTTGCTTCAAAATTCGTCTTCAACTTTTCTATATATCGGTTGACTGCCCTCCACTTCTATCAATTCCAGATAGGTTTAAATTCGGCCGAAAAATAAATTTTTAAACAGATGTTTTTAAAAATTATAATTAAATAATTTTTCGATAAGAGGATATTGTTCCATTTCATGTTACCTATCAATTCCCCTTTTCAAATATTCCATATTATGCATTATTGATTATATTTTAATTTAATTATTTTATATTTAGCAATATGATAAATAAATAAATTAAACAAATATTAAGGAGTTGTAGCGGAAGGAGTAGATAGGTAATACCTGGAAGTTGTAATTGGCAGCCAGCCGGGGCAATGCAACTTGACCGACTTTCCTCGCTCTGCCGCACAGGGCTCACTCAGCGCGACCGGCGGCAGTAGGGTAATTAGAATCGATTTAAATGTCATAATAAATCGTTTCTATCTTTCCTAATAATTCTAACACGTATTTCTTCTATAAAGGTATATATGAAAAGTTCAATGGAATTATTAACCAAAGCCTGTTTGTGATGCAAAGTATAAAAAACACAAAATACATATAATTTTCATTTTGTTTACAAAATTACCTAATAACTGATTGCTCAGTGAAAATAATTCGTTTAGTATATTGGTCGGTGAATAAATGGCGGTATAATATATCGAAAACGATATATTTTGCGGCTTTAAAACGCAGGACTCGGTACGTTTCGAAAAAAATTAATCATATTTTGATGTACATAGTCCGTAGTACAGAACCCTTTTTATCAAATTATTAACATCCGTCTACAGTTTCGTAAATAGCTTCATCTCATTGTAAACTACATGTATTTTATTTACTATTACTAAAATTCTCGGAATTGGGATGTTTTCAATCTGGAGATCGGGAAACTTTGTCTATTTAATTAGGTACTAAAAACTCGCGAGAACCCGTTTGCTTTCCACTTGAATCTTAAGTTAATATGATCACAAATTAAAAAAAAAAGACGGCCTACAAAATATTGGGCCGTTTGTCATGACTTCCACTTCAAAAATAACCAGGTTATGTAATAACCCATTATTTTGTAGGTCCCCCTTTTTTTCGATTTTGTGATCATATTATTTTACTATTCAAGTAGAAAGCAAACGGGTTTACATGAGTTTTTAGTAAGAGAAATTTCGCAAATTTTCGAAAAACCATACCCTGAGAATTTTGCCCCATTTTCATCTCAATAAAGACTAATATATACTGAAATGTAGTTGAGCCTTCTATATCTAGCCAATGAATACAGTTCTACGACACAATAATTATTTTTTTACGTGGAAACTTCTTTAGATGCGTTTTGCACTTTTTTTGTTGAGAGTGAATTAGATTGAGCCGTCAGGTTCTCGATGTGTAACGCTCGGAGAAAATAGGCTGGAATCGACTAATTGAAGTGTTTCTGCATATGGATTAAAATTTCTTAGAAACTAAAAATCGGATCTGCTTATTGTTAGCGAGATAAATGTTCATCATTTCATACTCTCTGTAATGAACTATTATTCAAAATTGTATCTTAACACGACACCGGTGTTAGAGAGGCGAAAAGGAAAAATTAGTATATAAAACCAAATTATAACGTGATTTTTTGAAGATATGAATTACAAAATTTCAGAAACTAAAAATTGCTACTGTATACTGTAAGCGAGGAAAAAGTTCAGCATTTCATCCTTTCTATAATGAGCTATTATTTATAATTTATATTTCATGTTATTAATCTCGCCTTGTTGATTTCCACTTCTATCGTGTGGTCTAAAGCACACTCCTTAGTTTTTTCACTAAAACGATACCGATTTAAGTCTTGATTTAAAATGCTTTCTATTAACGGAATTATAACAATTAAGTTGTTTATCTCGTAACTTGACAGTTGTGTAGTATTCAGATCTAAAAATTATTTTTTTACTGGATTACTTGTTTATTGATAAATATTGCAATCTGTCTCAATAAAGGCCATTTATGATAGAGTTCAGAGAGCACATTCACACCATATTTACAAAATCAAAAAATAAATAAGGTAATTTCAAAATAATATACAGCGAAATAAGAACAAAATAAAATATCATAATGAAGGAAGAAAATATAAATAATAGTAATAATAAAATACATAATTGGTAATTGGTTGACTGTCGTGGATAATGAAGAGAAGAACAGTTGGGGTGGTCAGTCAAAAAGGAAGGCAAAAATAAATGATAATATTTATTTTTTACATATGCCGACGTTTCGACCTGAAGTTCAGGCCTTCATCAGGGCTGTCTCCTTAAATGTCGCAGGAAGAATATTCTCCCTGCGACATTTAAGGAGACAGCCCTGATGAAGGCCTGAACTTCAGGTCGAAACGTCGGCATATGTAAAAAATAAATATTATCATTTATTTTTGCCTTCCTTTTTGACTGACTACCCCAACTATTCTTCTCTTCATAATAATAAAATAAAAATAAACATCTTAGATGCAGGTATACCTATTTACAATCGGTCATGGGAACTCCGAACCAGACTTGAATCCCCACTTGGGAACACATCAAAATTCATATTTAAATTTAATTTGAATTAAATCAAGAAACCACAACACAGTTTTTATCTCGAACATACTGCATATATAGCTCAGTTGTTATTGTGACGCCGCCATTATTGAAGCGTAGACGCTCACGTAGCGTGAGATATTTACTAGACTGGTCATTTCGATAATTTGTTATTCCACTGATTTTCTGAATATGGAGTAAAAAACTACATCGGCAGAAAAAGGGGCCAAGAAAGGAAGAGAGAGGAAAGATGAACAAGAAGACTGGCAAATAGAAGAAAAGAGAAAATGCAAGTATCCCAACCCACCTATATTTAACCTCTGTATAAAATTAAATGTAATAAAATAAAGCAATCAATTTTACATATTCACTTTTTTAGTCCATTAACTCCTCTAATTTTACAGTCCACAGCAATAAATTATCACCAGCTCTTAAAGCAGAATTGTTATGACAATATCCCTGACAGCCCTGGAAGGGATTGGCCTAGTGAATTAAACAACGAGACTTCAGGAGATCCCTGCGCTTCTCCCTCAACCACTTCACTGTTATTAAAAGCCAGCGGAGGCTGAGTAAGGGTGCTACAACCACAGACTATGATCTAAAAATAAATGTGGGCGGGGTAGCCGAATGGGCTAAAGCGTGTGCACTGCACCGCCGTTGCCTGGCAACCTGACATATGAATTAAAGATATAAAAATAGTCACAAGTTCGCGTCCCGGTGCCGAGGGAGTCTTTTAAATCCCCGCCCACACTCCCTGGCCCGGAAAAATCCCGTATAGCCTTAACGGCGAGGAAGGGAAAGACCAAAAAAAAAAAAAAAAAAAAAGATCTAAAAATAAATGTTAAAACACACCTACAATTTTTAAATTAAATTCTTATTTAAAAAAAAATAATTTATCGCTTATCCTATTAAAATCCTGAACCCGGATTAAGGCCGTATCTGTGATAATCAAAGAGGAGATTTGTTACATGGCCCGTTAAATTGGCAATCATTCCGCTCGGAGGAAATGCCACGGCGGATTTGGTCCAATCTCGGGGCCGACATGGCGGAAGGGATGACAGGGGAGCTCAGTGCTATATGAATTAGCGAATCGTTAGCGAACGATCCAAGGAGGAATAAACAGACGAACAGCTGAGCGGGATGGTTTGTTTAAAGGCAGTTATCCAGGATATAGGGGGCATCCAGGATATTGGCCCGCGGCCAGGCAGGGAGAGGAAATGCAGGCGCCTATCCCACGTTTCAACAGCTTTCCGAGGGAAGATAAAATCAACCTCGAAGTAAAAACAACATGGAACGATGAACCAACCTAGCCATTAAGACACCAGCAGTGTTATTATCTATGTAGAACTAGGAAAAGAGTCGTAATGTATATATAAGGACAATTTTTTCGTAAAATGAGGTTTTGAGCTTTTCTGGTTAATTTTGTCGTGGCGCATATTCTGATCCCACAAAATGAAATCTACGATGTTTCAATTCTTCTCTATGGCCTTTTGTAAAAACTTGTAATTTAAAACCAGGATATTGGAATGTAAAAAACTAATTAACAATGAAGGTTATAGGAGTTGTATCATTACCGAAAAAACGTTATGAAATGCTCAATGAAAAGTGATCATGTAAATTTATTTATTTATTAGTTACAAATATTCCTGGCTCACAATAAATTTGCCATCTACCTCGGTATTCAGCAAATATGATATCAAGGAGAAGAAATGATAGCATTAAAAAAAAGAATAGTAATAACAAAAAAAAAAAAAAAAAAACAGAAATAAAATAACACAATAACATAGTTATATACAAAAAAAGATAATGCAGCAATACGCTCAATTCAATAAGTCTCTTGGCCAGCGCCTCAGCAGTCTCCTGGGCGGATTATATGGATTTGTGGCAGTAGATAGAGCTTGAGTAAGTGGATTGGAATTTAGAGTCAGTCTGTCATGAAAATTATTAAAGCGGTCAGTGGCAGTTTAAAACATAAAGGGGTGCGTCTACAATTTTCCGAAGGACTTTTGACTGGAATGACTGGATGATGTTTGTATTTGATGTCTTTGCTGTTCTCCATAGTTCGGTACCATATGTCCAAAGTGGTTTAATGAGGACTTTGTAAATAGTTAATTTATTAGTCACAGATAATTTAGAACGTCTGTAAAGTAGCCTAGAAAGAAGTCCGTATCGCTGATTAAGTTCTTTTCTTTTTTGTTTTATGTGGTAGGTCATGTAAATACAGAATGTATAAAGCTTGCGCATAGAGTACAGTATCAACTAATTTTATTAATAGGCTATAACTATTTTTTCTCATACACCTTGTATTTTTTTTTTTATGGGTGATAAATAGTCGTGACGCAGTCATTTTAAAGTTTTTTTACTAATAGTGCCGACGTTTCAACCTGAACATCATCAGGGCTGGAAAATTGTTTTGTTTTTTTTGTCTCTTGAAAATTTGTAGTTTTGTTCTTACTGGCTTTTGCAGAGTGACTGTCGATATCTTATATCGATATACTAGTGTACCTCGGCCTACTCACTCAGGTTAAAATTGGATAGAATTGTTCTTACAGCAAGAAAAAAACGACAACAAAAAAACTAACTAAACTAGAAAATAAACGGAGTAAAAAATATCTAACATCTTGATTTATTTAAAAGATAGAAAAACAATATTTCTTCACGTCATTGAATAGCTTGGACTGAGGTTATAACCTCTCGTTTACTTGAAAAATAGTTTCAGTTAAAGGTGACCTTAGTACTGGTACACATAAAGGTTACTGATACTCACGTAACCTGAAGGTGACCTAGGTTAGCTAGCGTGACGTGACATAGGAGAGGCCTTCAGGGAGGAGAGGGCGGCCATTTGAGAATGTCACACGATATTGTTCCTTGTTCACAATAGCTTCATTATTTAC